GCAACTCGTCCGGGCATCGTCTCTGGATGAGCTGCCCTTCTCCTTCTCCCCATCCTCATCCGCCTAGGCAGGCTCATCCCTCTTCCCTCCTCACTCTCCCCTTCCTCCTCCTCCTCCTCCTCCACCTCCGCCTCCTCCTCATCTTTTTCGTGCTTCTCACTGTCCTCTTCCTTCTCCTCCTCATCCTGCTTCTATACTTTCATGATCAGAACAACTCGCCTGGCGATCGTTTCTGGATAGGCTGGTGGGGATACTTTTTTGGTCGCGGCCGCGAGCGAAGGGCGCAGGCGGCGAACAGGGTGTCCGGGCCGACTGGCAAGCCTAATTAGCTACAAGACGCGCCGCTAGCCGGCCGGCCCACTCACAAAGCAGCCGCGGGGCTGTGCGGGAAGCTGACGGCAGGGGACATCCTGGGAAGCTCGGGCACGTGCAGTCTGACAAAATGTATAGAAATTCGTTGCCTGCCGTGAGGCATAACCCACACAGCGACATGACGTGCACCGGGGCTGACGTGCCCGTCATACTGGGTGGGGGCAGGCGCGAAGCCCGATGAGCGAGTCGCCAGAGGGGCGCCAGGCCCAATCCGTCCCAACGACGTGTGCTGGCTAGGGGAGCTGAGCTGCCGAGGAACGTGGAACGTCGCAAACCTGCCGGAAGAGGGGGGATAAGCCCGGGGTGCTGTTGCGGCTGCGAAAGGCTAAACCACTCCGGCGCCAGCTGGCTGTACCTCCAGGGGCGGTGTGTGGCGTGTGGCAAGCTAGTGGGGAAAACCATAGCTAGCAGGGTGGGGCGACCTGGGTGGAGCTGCGCTGTAGCAGCCGCGCGGGGCCGGAGGCCACCGTGGGCCGACCTTGTCCGCCGCTTCTGCCCTTCCCCGCGGGAGTCCAGGGTCGCCGCCAACCACACACCACGCGGGCCTCCAGGGTCGCAGCTAGCCGCCGCTGAAAGTGAGGAAACTTACCGCGGACAGCGGGGGTCCAGGGCGGCCCTGGGGAGGGGGGGCGAAGCCACCGATGCCAGTCGGCACGCCTGGCGAAGCCCCGCCGATAGAAGGCCCGGAGGGAAGGGGTGGGGGGAGACGCGACCGACCGCTCCCACAGGGGGCCACCGAGGGGGCGCCCGGTGAGGGAAGCGCAAGGAGGCGAGCCCCAAGGGCCAAGGGCGGGGGACACCCGCCCGGCCCGAGAGGGGCCCGAGGAGAGAGGCGAGGAGGAGCGCACCTCAACGCCCCTCGAACGGGCCCCAGATCTGCCTGTCAAGGGACACGGCCGCCATTCTCGAGAATCCTCCAGGGTCGCAGCTAACCGCCGCTGAAGTGCAAATAATAACGAATGATCGGTTCCTCCAGGGTCGCAGCTAACCGCCGCTGATGTTCGGGCGCCTGCGGTGTGACCAAACTGAGACCTAGCTAGGTCGAGCACGCGGCCAGGCGACAGCACCGGGATGCAAGAGTACCCTGAGTCCCAGTGGGTGCCCCTGCCCGTAGTCTCTGCTACTCCCCGCATGGATCCAGGGTCGCGGCGGTCTCGTGCCCGTAGTCACAGCAAGTCCCAGTGTGGATCCAGGGTCGTGGCGAACGCCGGTCTTGTAGACAGCACCGGGATGCAAGAGAACCCTGAGCCCCTGGGGGAGGTCACGTGCCCGTAGTCTCTGCTACTCCCCGCAGCCGCTCTGGGTTGAGTGAAGACGGAGCGTGCACGGTGGGGGGCGGCAGATGGCCCATGGCCGACAGCACCGGGATGCAAGAGTACCTTGAGCTCCCGCGGGAGGCCTCGAGCCCATGGAATCTGCTGTTCCCCGCGTGGACCTGGCCAGGGGACACGGCCGCCGTGAGAGGGGCATCCAGGGTCGCAGCTAACCGCCGCTGAGAGGAAGGTAGTACCGAGCGGTAGGACTTTCGTCCGATGCTGGTGTGGTCCAGGGTGGGCAGCCTGCAGCCAGTGGACTGACACGCTGAAGGCTGGGCTGCCACCGCGGAGGCTGGCGCATCCGTGGGGACGGCGTGCGCCCCGGTACATCCAGGGTCGCAGCTAACCGCCGCTGGTGTTCTGGCGCCTGCGGTGTGTCGAAACTGAGACGTAGCTCCAGGGTCGCGACAAACCGCCGCTCTGGGTTGAGTGAAGGCGGTGCATCCACGGAGTGTGGCCGCAGACGGCCCTTGCCAGGCAGCACTGGGATGCAAGAGTACCCTGAGCCCCAGGGGGAAGTCACGTGCCCGTAGTCTCGGCTACTCCCCGCATGGATCCAGGGTCGCGGCGCTCTCGTGCCCGTAGTGTCAGCCGCACCCCGAGTGGATCCAGGGTCGCGGCGAACGCCGCTCTGGGTTGAGTGAAGACGGAGCACCCACGGAGGGTGGCGGCAGACGGCCCAGGGCAGACAGCACTGGGATGCAAGAGTACCCTGAGCCCCCGCGGGAAGACACGAGCCCGAAGGTGGGGACAGACGGCACCGCACAACGTACGGGTCCCAGGTGCACCTGGTCAGGGGGCACGGCCGCCATTCCCCGAGGGGAATCCAGGGTCGCAGCAAGCCGCTGCTGAAGTGCAAGTAGTGCCGAATGGTAGGTCTTTCGTCCGATGTTGGTGTGGTCCAGAGTGGGCAGCCTGCCACGCTGAAGGCTGGTCTGCCAACGCGGAGGCCGGAACCTCTGTGGGGGCGGTGTGTGTTGGTTCCTCCATGGTCGCAGCTAACCACCGCAGATGTTCGGGCGCCTGCGGTGTGACAAAACTGAGACCTAGCTAGGTCGAGCACGCGGCCAGGCGACAGCACCGGGATGCAAGAGTACCCTGGGTCCCAGTGGGAGGTCCCGTGCCCGTAGTCTCTGCTACTCCCCGCATGGATCCGGGGACGCGGCAGTCTAGTGCCCGTTGTCACAGTTGCTCCCCGTGTGGATCCAGGGTCGTGGCGAACGCCGGTCTTGTAGACAGCACCGGGATGCAAGAGAACCCTGAGCCCCCGTGGGAGGTCATGTGCCGTAGCCTCTGCTACTCCCCGCAGCCGCTGTGTTGAATGAAGACGGAGCGTGCACGGGGGGTGGCGGCAGGCGGCCCATGGCCGACAGCACCGGGATGCAAGAGTACCTTGAGGTCCCGCGGGAGGCCTCGTACCTCTGAGGGCAGTGCTGCCGCCTCGAAGGCCGACGCATCCAAGGGAAGTGTGTGGTGGTACATCCAGGGTCGCAGCTAACCGCTGCTGGAGTGTAGAGAGGAGGTGCCGTGCCCGTAGTCTCAGCTGCTCCCCGCGTGGATCCAGGGTCGCGGCAAACTCTGGGTTGAGTGAAGACGAAGCACCCACGGAGGGTGGCCGCAGACGGCCCTTGCCAGGCACCGGGATGCAAGAGTACCCTGGGCCCCCGGGGGGAAGTCACGTGCCCGTAGTCCCAGGTGGGGACAGACACCACCGCACACCGAACGGATCACAGGTGCACCTGGCCAGGGGACACGGCCGCCATTCCCCGAGGGGCATCCAGGGTCGCAGCTAACCGCCGCTGAGAGGAAGGTAATACCGAACGGTCGATCTTTTCGTCCACTGCTGGTGTGGTCCAGGGTGGGCAGTCTGCAGCCTGTGGACTGACTCGCTGAGGGCAGTGCTGCCACCTCGAAGGCCGACGCATCCATGGGGTGTGTGTGGTGGTACATCCAGGGACGCCGCTGACCGCTGCTGAAGTGTAGAGAGGAGGTGACGAGCCCGTAGTCTCAGCTGTACCCCGCGTGGATCCAGGGGCGCGGCAAACCGCCGCACTGGGTTGGGTGAAGAAGAGGCGCCCACGGAGGGTGGCGGCAGACGGCCCTTGTCAGACAGCACCGGGATGCAAGAGTACCCTGGGCCCCCGTGGGATGTCAAGTGCCCGTACAGGGTGGCGGCAGACGGCCCTAGGCGAACAGCTGGTGGGGATACGCGAAGTGTCAAAACTTACCCTCATCATGCCCGATCCTCCTCCTCTTCCTCCTCCTCCTCCTCATCATCGTCCTTCTCCTCCTTCTCCTCCGCGACCACCCTCATCCCCGAACCTCCTCCTCCTCCTCCTCCATCCTCATCCTCGATTATCCTCCTCTTCCTTCTCGTAGTTCTCCTACTCGGCCATCCTTATCCTCGATCATCCCCCCATTCTGTCTCTTTCTCCAACCTCCTCCTCTTCCTCCTCGACCATCTCTCTTCATCGATCCCCTTCCCCCTCGCTAGAAAAGGGCCTTGGGGGCCTCCACCAGGCCTTCTGCCAGCCGGAGCCGGAAGCGGCGCATCTCGAGCTCGGCGGTCTCCGTCTGCGCCTCGCGCGGGAGCGACGGCCGCACCATCGTCGTGGTGGTGGTGGTGGTCGTCGTCGTTGTCCAGGTCGCCCTCGTTTTGGTCTTCGTCGTCGTCGTGATGGTCGTGGTCGTGGTCGTCGTCGCCGTCGTGGTCGTCGTCGTCCTGGTCGTTGTGGTGCTGGTGGTGCTGGTGGTGGTCGTCGTCGGCGTCATCGGCGTCGTCGTAGTGGTCGTGGTGGTCGTCGTTGCCGTCGACTTAATCGTCGACCTCGACCTCGTCGTCGTCGTCCTCCTCCTCCTCCTCCTCCTCCTCCTACTCCTCCTCCTCCTCCTCCTCCTCCTCCTCCTCCTCCTCCTCCTCCTCACTGTCCTCCTCCTCCTCCTCCTCCTCCTCCTCACATTCCTCCTACTCCTCGTCCCTCTCGAATGTTTGCTGATCTGGGAGGCTTTGAAACGCTGTTTAGCGCTCCTGGACATGCTTGATTACTTTTGTGTCCAAAAATGCACCTGATACGTCCCATCCCCCACACACCCCAAACCGCAACCCTCCTCAATCCTCCTTCTCCTCCTCCCCCTCCTGCTCCTCTTCCTCCTCCTCCTCCTCCTCCTCCTCCTCCTCCTCCTCCTCCTCCTCCTCCTCCTCCTCCCCCTCTTCAATCCTCCCCCTTCCAGAGGGCGCACGCAACACATCAGATGCGTGGCCACGAGGAAGAGAAGGAGGCGGAGGAGGCGGAGGCGGAGGAGCGACCTTTTCTCCGGAGCGGCCCCCTGGTGTGCAAGGGAGGCTGCGCGCCGCGGCCGCCCGCCCCGGACCCCCTCGGACGGACGGGCGAGCCGCCCCCGCGGCGACCGCTGGGGGCGGCGTCCTCCTCCTCCTCCTCCTCCTCCTCCTCCTCCTCCTCCTCCTCCTCCTCCTCCTCCTCCTCCTCCTCCTCCCCCTCCTCCTCCTCCTCCTCCTCCTCCTCCTCCTCCTCCTCCTCCTCCTCCTCCTCCTCGACATCGACGGCGGCGTCGCTGGCGACGCCGACCCGGGCGTCCGACGACGGCGATGCTTCGCCGCGGGGCCTCTCGACGGCCCCGCGGCCCCGCAGGGGCCCCCCGAGAGGCCGCCGCCCGCCGCACACCGCCCGCGCCCGTGAGCTTCTCCACGTCGCGGTGACGCCAGGGCGCGGCGGCGACGGCGGCGCGGCGGTGGAAGAACCTCCCTTTATCGGCTACACGCAGGAGTGACCCTGGGTCAGAGTGACCTTTGGTGCGCGACTTTTTGGGGGCCGCGGGGGGACCAAACCTGGGCGCGCAAGGAGCTGCGACCGCCTCGTTTTCAGCCATCTGGGGACCCATCTGTGCCCGCACCAAAGGTCACTCCGGCGAAAGATCACTCTTACGTCTACTCGACTTTGGTACACCTCTTCTTAGCGAAAACGGCCTTGGGCCGAAACCCACGGACCCGGACAGGGGACAAATGACGGCCTCGACGCCCGCTCGCGAACCGAAGACGGTCAATTCCTGAATCGACGCGTCAGGGTAGGAGGTCGATCAACCTCCGAGAGCTAGAGACACCCCGGATGGGGTCCGAGCAGATAGGGTCGGAGGACCGCGCCGGCGATGCATCGGCGCCGTCGGCGTGGAGAAGCTCTGGCTCCACATCGAGCCGCATCGTCGATGCGGAGCTATCCTCCGACCCCATCTGCTCGGACCCCATCTGGGAAACCCAGGCGTCGAGTAGGGAGGGCATCGACTACTGAACTGACTTGCCCCGGACTTGATTTGTCCGTCGAGCCCACGAGAGGTGCGTATAATGCTCGCAGATCCACGAACACGATGCGCATTTGTACATTCGACGAGAAACCCAATTCCGGGGTGAATCGATGCAGCAAGCGATCCCCATACCCGAAGACGGGCACGCCCCTTTGGCGCGACCGCCCGGCGCGGGCCGGGCCGCGGGCGCGCGCGGCCCCGGCCGCCCCGCGGGGCCCGCGGCGCGAAGGGGAGCGGGCCCAGCGAGCGATCCGAGAGTACGGCGAAGACGGAGGAGGAGGAGGGAGGAGGAGGAGGAGGAGGGAGGAGGAGGAGGAGGAGGAGGGGGAGGGGGAGGGAGGAGGAGGAGGAGGAGGAGGAGGAGGAGGAGGAGGAGGAGGAGGAGGAGGAGGATGAGGAGGAGGAGGAGGAGGAGGAGGAGGAGGAGGAGGGGGGAGGAGGAGGAGGGCGGGCGGCAGGGACGTACAGACCCTCGGAGGCCCAGGTCTGGACTCGTGGGGCGGTGGCCCGAGGGGCTGGCCGGCGGCAGCGGCAGAGGACGGGCCGCAGGGGCAAGGACACGAGGGTGCCCCGGAGAAGGCGCGCGTCCTTGCTGTGCGCGTTGACCGTGTCCGAGGGGGGGGGGGGGCGACGGGGGGCAGGGGGGCTGGCCCCCGCCTCCCTGGCTACCTACCAGACTGCCCCAACCCAACCCGAAGACCCGAATCTGACCCGACTTTCGGGTTGGGGGGGCGCACGGGCTCGACACGTCTCTGCAGTGTTCCCCGAAGGCCTTCGGCTTGGCTCGGGTGGCTTGGTGGGGGGTTCGGGAGCGGCCAAGAGGGGAGTGTCCAAGAGGGGGGGGTGCAAATCATGACCGGCGGCATGTGCGCGGCCCAGCGGGGGGGCCAGGAACGCAATGAAATAAGAAGAGGCGCCATGAAATCTGGGGAAATATCGTGTCCCACGCCATGATATCCACCCCCCCTTAGTCATCACCCCCCTCTTTTCCGCCCCCGAGGTTTGGTGGGGGTGACTCCCAGCGCCGTGACACCTCAGCGACGGTTGGCTCTGGGCAGCCTTTGGCTCCTGGGGGCCCTCGCCGGGCCCTGGGGCCGCGAGCAGAGGACGTCTGGGCGAAGAGCCGGCCCCCTTGCCACGGGGGGCTGTCAGGGACCGGACTCTATATATACACCGACGTCTTCTGCTGCCCCGCACTGAAATTCGCACGAGAAAGCGGATCCTGGTGTATACGGGATCCTGGTGTATACATTTTTCTTTGTTTCCACGGGAAAACGGGGAAAATAGTATACACCACACCGCTCCGACGTCGTCCCCGACCCTCAAAAAGTTCTGGGACTGAAAGGCAGTCCGCCACTGGTAATGCATGTTTTCCGGTTTCCGAGGCTGGGGACCTCCGGGGCCTATACCTTGCTAGAAATCATGGCGTCGGAGACCCGGCGGTTCAAGAGGGAGTTGTCGGCCTGGAACCGGCGACACGGCGCCGATGGGCCAGCGACATCGGCTACACGTCTGAGTGACCCTGGGTAAGAGTGACCTTTGGTGCGCGGCTTTGTGGGGGCCGCGGGGGGGCCAAACACAAGCGCGCAAGATGCCGCTGCCGCCTCGCGTTCGGCGATCGGGGACCCCAATGTGCCCGCACCAAAGGTCACTCCAGCGAAGGGTCATTCTTACGTGTAGTCGACGATAGCGAGGCCGCATGCTCCTGACAAGCCCCGGTGAGCGATGAATGTGTGACTGGGGGTCGATGCTTCCCCCCCTGGGCCCTGGGGGAACCAACAAGGCACCGATGCCGCTACTTCCTGGACCTCTCCCGGGGCGCGTTCTGACGAGGATTTCAAGGCGAATCCAGCGGCGGCGACGAGGGCCTCCCAGGAGACTCAAAAAAGGAAAAACGGCCGAAGGGTAGCAGTGTGAGTACCTGTTCCTCCTTGTCGTGACCCCTGAGGAATGGGGTCCCGATGTTTGTCGCTGTCTTCTCACGGGCCTCGAAACAGTAAGAAAATGGAGGAGGGGGAGGAGGAGGAGGAGGAGGAGGAGGAGGAGGAGGAGGAGGAGGAGGAATAGGAGGAGGAGGAGAAGCAGGTAGAGGAGGAGGAGAAGGAGGAGGAGGATTGAAGAGGGGAAGGACGACGAGGAGGAGGAGGAGGCGGCGGAGGAGGAGGAGGGGGAAGAGGATTCGGGAGGAGAAGGCGGCAAGGGGCAGAGGACGTCGACGAAAGTGACGGGAGGAAACCGAAGAGTGTTGCTTTTGTCGGTGATACGCTGGAGATACAGCGTTGCCTGCGCCACGTCGCCGCAGTGCTCGACAACATGATCAAACCTGCTTATACATAGTGCAAGAAGCGGGCGAGGCCTAGCTCGCCCGCCAGCCCCTCTGCTTCCTTCCTGCACTTTTCAATGCGGGAGCTAGCCGCCAGGTCTGCGGGCGGCCCGCGACAGCGCCCCGCTGGGCCCCCCAGAAGCCCTCGAAAGTGGTGACAGTTTCGCAGTTCGCAGCCCCCTCAGGGACGGCGAGGTCAAATCTGAATCTGGGTGGTGCCTCACTCCGCTGAACCCCCCAGCAGCCCTCGAAGGTGGCGTCAGTTTCGCAGATCGCAGCCCCCCAGGCATGGCGAGGTCTAATCTGAGTCTGGGTGGTGCCTCACTCCGCTGAACCCCACGGCAAACGTCGAAAATGATGACGGTTTCGCAGTTCGCAGCCCCCAGGGACGGCAAGGTCGAATTTGAATCCGGGTGGCGCCTCACTCCGCTGAACCCCCCAGCAGCCCTCGGAAGTGGCGACAGCTTCGTGGATCGCAGCCCCCCCAGGGATGGCGAGGTCTCATCGGAGTCTGGGTGGTGCCTCACTCCGCTGCACCCCCCAGCAGCCCTCGAAAGTGGTGACAGTTTCGCAGATCGCAGCCCCAAGGATGACGAGGTCTCCTGGTGGTCCACGTAAGACGTCACTCTGCTGCACCCCCCAGCAGCCCTCGAAAATGGCGATAGCTTCGCAGATCGCAACCCCCCAGGGATGGCGAGGCCCCCTGGTGATCTGCGTAAGACGTCACTCCGCTGCACCCCCCCCAGCAGCCCTCCAAAGCGGCGAGGGTTTCGCCAATCGCAGCCCCATATAGACGACCAGGTAGGAGGCGAGGCTAGCTGGCAGGAAGGAGCGAGGCAAGAGGCAGTCGGGAAGAGAGACGGGGGGAAGGAAGGTCGCGACCGCAGTGCTCTATTCAAGGCGAGTACCCAACGCAAGAGGGCTGGGAATACAAGACATATGGTTTGGCCCACTCGACTTTTCGGCATACCGACGCTCCGAGACGGCCCAAGAAGCTTCCGAGGCCTCGCCAAGGCGGCCCAAGACGCCCCCCAGACGGCCCCAGGACGGCCCAAGACGGCCCGAAAGGCGCCCGAAACGACCCAAGAGGGCCCAGAGACGGTGCCAAAAAGAAGCCCAAGAGGAGGGCCACGAAGTCAAAATGCGAGCTTTCCGCCCCGAGAAAACAGAATGAGACCCCAAGAAAGCCCCAAGAGGCCCCACTAGGCCCCCAAGCAGACCCCAGGAGACGCCCACGCGGTTCCAAAAGGCCCCAAGATGGCGCCTAAGAGGGTCCGAAGTGTCAGACCTCCTACCCACGACTGAGACACGGTGGCGGGATGGGCCGAAGGCCATTAGATCCGCCGCCCCCTGTTGACCTGGGCCCGGCACAGAAACGGAAAGAGCGTTTCAGAAACAGAAACCGAAATTACTCACACCACCGTTCGTACCGGGAGCCTTGGCGTTGAGAGCTTGTTACGTTACCCCTCGCTCTTGGGAGCCTTGGTGTTCAGAGATTGTTGCGTTGCCGCTCGTTCCTGAGCCTTGGCTGGGCCTTGGTGTCAGGAACTTGTTACGTCACCGCTCTCAGCTGGGATCCTTGGTCTTATCAGCTTGTTTACGTCACCGTTCGCTCTGCCGATCGCTCTGTATTTGGCGTCTCTGGGCCTTGTTGGGAGTCCTATTGGGGCCCTTTTGGAACCCTTTTGGAGGCCTCTTGAGAACCTCTTGGGGGCCTCGTGGGGCTTCTTGGGGGGCTCTGGGGGCCTCCGGGGAGCGTATTGGGGTGATTTTGAAGCAGAAGGCTAGACTTTT